TCAGACTCCTTTTTATCAGTAAATTCCATATAACAACCACCCCAGATTTCCACCACAAGCCTTGTCATCCAGTTCCATGTTTAAAATCCCCATCCCAAAATTAATGTCCACAAATGTACATCTTTAGCCCAGACCTCTAGCCTGAATTTCAAAACCATATATCCAACTCTCTATGATCCATACATACTTCAAGCCAAGCATATCTGAAATCAAATTATCATTTTCCCTCCAACATCAGCTACCATTTCTCAAAGTAAATGGCATCATACAGTAGCCAAAAACAGAAGCTGAGATTCTATCAACGGACTCTTCTCCTTGACCGTCTAATCAGTCATAAAGCCCTACTGATTCTATCTTCTATGTCTCCCTTTTCCCACTTCCATTTCCCTCATTAGCCCCTTGCTATGGACTGAACTCTGTCCTCTCAAAATGTATTTGTTGAAGCCCTAAACCCCATGTGATTGTATTTGGAGTAAGGAAGTAATTAAGGTTAAGTGAGGTCATCAGGGTGGGGCCCTAATCCAATCTGGATAGTGTCCTCATAAGAAAAGACACCAGAGAGCTCATACTCCCCATACCATGTGAGGAGAGCCAGCTGCAAGCCAGGACGAGTCCTCACCAGGAACAGAATCAGCTAGCACCCCATGTTTGGACTCTTCAGCCTTCAGAACTGAGAAAAATTTTTATTTTATTTATGTATTTTGAAACAAAGTCCTGCTGTGTTGCCCAGGCTGTGGTGCAGTGGTGCAGTCTTGGCACACTGCAACCTCTGCCTCCCACGTTCAAGCAACGCTCCTGCCTCAGCATCCAAAGTAGATTACAGGTGTGCACTACCACACCCAGCTAATTTTTTGTATTTTTAGTAGAGATGAAGTTTCACCATGTTGGTCAGGCTGGTCTCGAACTCCTGACCCCAAATGATCCGCCACCTTAACCTCCTAAAGTGCTGGGATTACAGGTGTGAGCCACTGTGCCCAAACAATAAATAAATTTTTGTTGGCTAAGCCACCCAGTCTGTGGCAGCCCTAACTGCCTAAGACATCCTCCTCACTTCCTACTCTATTAGTGGTGTGCTGCCCCAAACTCTCCTCCACCCTCCTATGAGAAAGATCTTCCACACATAAAAAAATGAGATCTGCTGAAAGGCCTCAAACAGCATGTCGTTACCTAGAAGATAAAATGTAAACTCATTTGTGTGGCATGGAAGACAGGCCCAGCCCTATTTGCCACAGCTTAATCCTTCAACAATATTTAACATCCTCTTGTTAACTACTCTCTCATGTTTCTTTATTTGGGCACATGCTGTACTCCAGCTGGAATGCCCTTCAGACCCTTATACCAGGCACATTCCACTCAGTCTTCACATCTCATCTCATGCCCTACCTCCCGAAACTTGTGCTCCCATTACACTTTAAACATACTCCCACAAAATCTTTTCTATTGTACTATAATTAGTTACTAGCATGTCGCTAAGTCTCTTGAGGTCACAAAATTTACCTTTTCATCTATGCATTCCATAAAGCCTGGCATATAGGAAATGTTCAATACTTGTGCTCTGTATGAATAAATGAAAAAAAGTCAGAGTGGTGATCTTTAATTGGTGCTCTGAAGAGTATTTTAAGGATTTCTTTTTCTTATAAACGGTAGTAGTAATAGTGCAGTAGCAGTATGCTTTAATGGTGTTAGATCAAAATGCCTCGGATATGCAAACTGAATAAGCACATCCACCCAGTTACTGAAAAACTCACATGAGTGATAACTGACATACTAAAGTATCTATGTGATATGGTTTGGATCTGTGGCCCCGCCCAAATCTCATGTCCAACTGTAATCCCCAGTATTGGAAGTGGGGTCTGGTGGAGCCGACTGGATCACAAAGATGTTTCTCATGAATGGTTTAGGGCAATCCTTCTGGTGCTGTTCCTGTGACAGTGATTGAGATCCAGTTGCTTAAAAGTGTGTAGCATCTCCCCACTCCTCTCTCTCTCTCCTGCTCCAGCCATGTGAAGTGCTGGCTCCCACTTCACCTTCTGCCATGACTGTTAGTTTCCTGAGTCCTCCCCAGAGGCTGACCAAATGCCAGTACCATGCATGCTGTACAGCCTCCCAAACTGTCAGCCAAGTAAACCTCTTTTCTTTATAAATTACCAAGTGTCAGGTATTTCTTTATAACAATGCATGAACAGTATAATATACTAATATCCTTACCTCCTTCAGGAGTTCAACACTTTTCTCTAAAAGGTGAATTAAAGATGAACATTCTCCAGTCATCTTTAAGCTGACTTCACAGACACACAGCAGCTGAAGAGTCAGCTGGATAAGCTGAGTTTTCCAGAAAGCAGGATGACGCAAAAGGCTTAAATACACTTCCTCAATGAACAGCACCACTTCTGTTGTCTGCATCAAATCTTTTATCTGTTAAAAAGGTCATTATATGATACTTAAAAATACATAAACCGAAGGATAATTTGAAGCTACAAAGAAGCTTTCAACAATAAAACTTTTTCTCTAAACCCATAAAGACTTAAAGGAGATGAAAAAAGTTACACAACTCAGTGAAGGGTTAACTATAAAACTGCACCTTATCCTTTCCTCATTTACCAAACTCCAATTTGCTACTGTTTTTGTTACTGCTGACTGGCAAATTTCTTTTCCTTCATTTTTCTAGCTTCTCTGAATGCAGACATCTTAAAACACGTTACATGACAGTGCCAACATGTTGGGGGAAATTGAGCTTGGTTTTGAATTCTCCAAACAAACTCTCCTTTCTACAATTCCAACATAGATACCTGACAGTAATGGCTCAGCATGTTATTCTAACATGCTACTAAACCCTTTATCTGCAAGATATTTGCTCAGACAGCCTTAACTGAGAGTATCATTTCCACACTTGGCAGATACAGTAAAACACCATATTCAAATGGTAGAGTGTCTTCTCAACAGGCTAATGTATTAAATAGGAAGGACTTGGGTGCTCTTGAAAATCCCAATTCAATCCAAACCCAGCTGTTCTGATCAAAATTCTGGAGCTAGTATTAAGGATATGGTCCTGCTCACAGACACATTGGCATTTCCCAGAGATTATAAACAATGGACCATCTGCTTCAATCAGGAGCCTTGTGTCTGTTAAATTCATCAAGAAGAAAGCCTACAGTTGGCCAGCTGTACCTTTTACCAGTGGTTATCACCATAATAACCCAGATGACTATTAGTTATACACAGAGAGAAAAATAAGTTTCTAGCAAATAAAAGAAGAAAGATTAAAAGATCAAAGAGAAGAAAAAGAAAATATTGTTACAAAACATAAACATAAACAATCTGGTATAAATTATTTTGCTCTCCTGCAAACATACAGTAGGAAAGTCAAAAGGCCACCGAGAAGAGACAGATTTAAAATAAAGCCTAATGTTTATTCGACAAAAATATTTCCTTGGGTGCATTTATGTACACATTTCTAGTTTCCCAAAACAAAAAAAATCCAAAAGACAATCTCAGCAAGCTAGCATTAAAGGCTCTCTAATCTTTAACATTATCAAAAATCTAGACAAGAATAATTTTGAAGTAACATTCTGTCTTTGTGTGCAAATATATTATTTAATAGAATAGGTAATATTTTAGATGACAGGAGTCACAATTAAAATGAAAAAGACAATTCTATAAATATAAAATGAAAGCGCATCTGGCATAAGAAATAGAAATATGTGTTTCATTGACCATTCTTTCATCATAGGTCAACATGGTTGCATGGTTACTTCTAAAACTTGTTTTTTAAAATTTAAATGTGATTCTATCCTAGTGCTCAGTATAAATCAACAGTACTATAGTTAGCTCTAAGAAGATCATTTCATAGTAGCATATTTGAGCACCAAAAAAGTGGAAAATTACTGGCAAAACAAAACAGGGAAAAATCTGGAAACCATTTGCAATGGGGAGATTAAGAAAGTGAAGAAAAAATAAGGAAGGGGGAGGTGAGGGGGGAAAGAAGGAAAAATGGGAAGGAAAGAAGGGAGAAAAACAAGACAAAATAGGATACAGGTGGGTTTTCTTAAAACTTCATTTCATTTTGTTCCAAGAAGAATGGAAATGAGTAAGTAATTCGAAAAATGAAGATCAATAAGTACTTGCTAAAAAAAATGGTTGCCTTGCAAAATAGTGTGCTTCCTCTATCGCTAAAATATTCAATTAGCCATGAGATAGTCATGTTTCAGAGAGTATAAGCAACAAGTGTATTGGGTGGGGAATGGATTATATTATCTCTAAGACCACTTCCAATCCTCCCACACTTCATTCTAGTAAGCCAATTTGTTAAACTGATTAAGTATGCTTATGTCGCTAATTCCAGTAGTTCCAAAGGATATATCCCTTTTTTCTCACAGGACTGTTAGGTTAAAAAGCCGATTCCCAGAAATATTCCACAGAGTTTATTTCTAAAAGCATTTAACTCGTCAACACAGGTTTATAAGATGAAGACAAACATTTGCCAAGGAGCACAGAACAGGGTAATGCGGCCATGCTGTGAAAAAATGTACCCTAGTTCAAGACATTCTGCCTATACATTGCTTTATTGCCCACACAAAACAAAAGCTTTGGAAAAGCCACAGGAGAATTCATTTTAATTAAATGTTCTCTGCCTTGATTACAGGAAAGCCTATTTGTGAGTCACAAAGGAAGGATTTACTCTAGTCACTCCTTGCTAACACAAACTTAAAGCAGGTCATGTGTGACCTCAAGTGATCACTTTGAAATATGTTCACAGATTCCTTCCATCAGCTAAGCAGCATGGTGCTCAGATTCCAGGCAAATAGCAAACCTAGACGATGGGAAGAGACAGACTGATAAATGAATCACTACACTAAAACCACAACACCTGAGCAACTGGATTTTTTTCATATGCAGTTACAGAGACAATGACTTAAATTTCTCTTTCCCCTGAACTCTGTGTTTTATCCATACCTCAGTTAATCACCTTTCATCTTTCTATTTTAAGAATATATTTACAGTACTTGTCCTAACTCATTTACTACATGTGTGCTTCTCAAGAGCAGTATCCCTGAGAGCTGCTGCATATGTTGTAAGGGTACATGTGGAAACCAGAATCTAGCTCGTACTCATCAGCTGGCCAGGCTTTGCATTCTCAGAGCTGTTTACGCCCTGAGATACACCTTTATTTTCAATTTGCACACATGTCTTTTTTTTCCTTGTTACTGTCTCAATGTCTACAGAAAAGAAACTCAACTCAAAATCTTTTACCTGAGAAGGAAAGTTTTCATGCCTGCTAATCCCAAAATGGATTATGCTGATTTATAATTTTTGTGAATTAACATAGAACATAATATATTCATGTTAAATCTATATTTTGTTTCTTTCATCTTCCCCAAAAAGATTTTAAGCATTCTAGAATAAGGATCATGTCTGAGTTTGCCAAATCACATATGTTCTAGAACTACTTTATCTATGACGATAACAACACTTAACTGATGCTAGATTTGTGGAAGAGAACGAAGACCTTACCTGCAAACATGGAACCATGTCACAACACAGTTGAAGTATCTGCTGTTCCAGTATTGACGGTTGTTCTTTGTCATAATGAACCCGGGGTTGAAGTAAGACTTTCAGCAGAGTTAGTCGAAGTTTAGCATATTCTTGTAACTGAGATGGTTCACAATACAGATACCACAGAAAGGGTGCCATTATTTGAATGCATGAAATTTCTGACCTATAAGACATGAAATACATTAGTCAGTCATTGAGTTAAACACACTATCAAGCAGACAGTGTCAAATAACAACTTATAGTTCATGACATAACAAACTACCATATTATCAAGTTTAAGTTCTTTTTAAGATTCTTCTATTCCACTATGAACTGCCTACATCTATGCCAAAAAGTTCTTTGTACACTGAGGAAAAATTATTCAACACCTGGAGACTGTAAGCTACATGCCCAAGATGAAGAGCTATCTTCACAATAGAATAGCAACTACATCTCCAAAATCAGTGTTTACTGACCATAACAATCATCTGGTCTGGGTGAAGTGGCTCATGCCTGTAATCCTAGCACTCTGGGAGGCCAAGGTGGGCAGATCACAAGGTCGGGAGATGAAGACCATCCTGGCCAACATGGTGAAACCTTGTCTCTACTAAAAATACAAAAATCAGCTGGCCATGGTGGCATGCACCTGTAGTCCCAGTTTCTCAGGAGGCTGAGGCAGGAGAACACTTGAACCCGGGAAGTAGAGGTTGCAGCGAGCCGAGATCACACCACTGTACTCCAGCCTGGCGACAGAGCAAGACTCTGTCTTTAAAAGAAAAAAAATCACCTGACAACCTTTCTAGAATTACAGATGTCAGGATCACCTCTCCAGGATTATGACATAAACATGAGTTGTTGGATAAACTCTACAGGTGAGGAGCTACGTAAAACGAATCCAGACAAACATCCCAAGATGATTATGATGACAGTTAACATTTTAACCCTTACAGTGTTCAACTTACTGCATTTTATGTCTTTAAATCCATTGAATCCTCACCACAACCCTATGAAATAAAAAATAGTAATATCCCCACAACACAGATAAAGAAACTGAAGGAGAGAGGGGTGAAGTAATTTGCCAAGGTCTTCTTAAGCATTTCCCACCCTACAAATATTTTGTATCTATTTATATTTTATTATATCCTGAAAACACTTAGTCCAAAGTCACTAAAATAACAGAATGATCGTGAAAAATGAAAATATGGTCATGTCATTAGCCAGCCTAAACAGTATCCAGCCCAATTCATACACACTCTCCATCATGTGGCCTCTGTTTATCTTTCCATCTTCATTTCTTGTTCTTCATTCACCACTAGACCACACTCAACTCTGTTCAGGTCTGTAACCACACCATCTGGACTTTTTTCTCACTTGCCATTCCCTCTACGTATAATATTCTCCCCTTCTACCCTTCCTATTTCTTTCCCTCCCTAGTTTCTATCATCCTTCAGTTATCTGCTATAAAATTACTTTCTCAGGTCCTTCCTTGACACTTCACCTTGATCACATACATGAGATGTGCTTTTATGGTACAGTGCTTTATTACTTTTTTTTTTTTTTTTTTGAGATGGAGTTTCATTCTTGTCACCCAGGCTGGAGAGTGCAATGGCATATTCTCAGCTTACAGCAACCTCTGCCTCCCAGGTTTAAGCGATTCTCCAGTCTTGCCTCCTGAGTAGCTGGGATTACAGGCATGCACCACCATGCCCAGCTATTTTTTTTTATTTTTTATACTTTAAGTTCTGGGGTACATGTGCAGATTGTGAAGGTCTGTTACATAGGTACACACATGCCATGGTGGTGTTTTGCTGCATCCATTGCCCCGTCATGTACAACAGGTATTTCTCCTAGGGTCTTGCTGCATTGCCCAAGCTGGAGTACAACAGCTATTCACAGGCACAATAATAGTGCACTGCAGCCTTGAATTCCTGGGCTCACGTAATCCTCTTGCCTCGGTCTCCCAAGTAGCTGACACTACAGGCTGTTATCATTACATATTTAATATCTATATCCCCTGCCAGACTATATACCAAGTAAGGCCATAGATTTCTGTTTACTGCTGTTATCACCAATAACTGTATATACTAGGCCTTCAAAGAGATGCTCATTTAATTAATTTTTGTTACAGAGTAGTTTTACGATTAGCATGCAATTAAATATCATGGTTTTATTTTGTAATGTTTTTCACATTTATTATATGTAAAGAATGATTAGATAAGATACAAAGATGAAACAAGAATTATCTATCCTCAAGAAGCACACAGTCTAACAGACAATCAGTTGTGGTCCTCAACTAGAAGAGAGAAAGTGAAAACTGCCAGAAGAATGGCATAAAGCGCAGTTACTTCATGGAAGAAATGGTATTTAAATTATGCTTGACTGTCCGCATTTTTAAGTGGGAGCTAAACCCTGGGTCACACAGACATAAAGATCGTAACAACAAACACTGGGGAACTCCAAAGAAAGGTGGGAAGGAAGGGGGACAACGGCTGAAAATTTTCCTGTTATGTATTTTGTTCACTACTGGGTGACAGGATCAATAAAAGACCAAACCTCAGCACTACACAATATGCCCTTCAAACAGACCTGCACACGTACCCCTGAAACTAAAATAGAAAATAAAAAAGAACTTTTTAAAAATAAATCATGCTTGACGACATAATCTTATAATACCATACGTTTCATAGCAACGTGATTTCAAAATGCCATTAACATTAATAAAAATGTAAAAGTTACCAAGCCAATTAAATCTTACTCGTTCATTCATTTATTCACTTGGTAAAACTTATTGCCCACCTACAGTATACCAGTCACTCACCTACATGCTGGAAACAAAACAAGAAACAAAAATAGATTAAATTCCTGCTCTCACAGAGCTCACAGTCTGAAGAAATTTTTTTTATCATAAGCTCAAATACTTATACAATCTATAAAAATCAATAGAACTTTTGAGTTCATAATTCTTACTGAAACACACATCTTTATCACACCTTCTACTTTAGAAAACTAAAAAAAAGATAGGTGAAAGAATCAGATAATGTATGTATGAAATACAAAGTCAAAGTTTCCAGAAAAGAAATTTAAGAAACTTCCTTTTCCATCTCTCTTTAATAATGTATTCCCCAAAGAATATATACTGCCCAGGTGTCAACAGCATCCATGAACAGCTTATCAGTTTTTTTCTACTTTGAGATGCTGAAGGTGAAATGTAAGGTTCATATAAAGAAATACATTTCCAAGATGCCATTATGATTTGACATCAGGAGCACAATGTTGAACTTCCTTAAGGACAATATACTATTTAAAAATCCCCTTTGCTTAATCTGTTCTGATTTTAGATTCTGCATTTCCTATGTGGTATGTGATGATCACTTCAGTAAGTATGAAATTACCAGGGGCTTAGGCAAAAAGGAATATTAAAAATAAAACAGACAGTCTGAAATCCCAAAGTGATTTAAAATGTTAAAAAATGTAACCAATTGTTTATGTACCTACACACAAGTCTTTACATTAAGTTCATCATGAGATGATGAGCTTAATGTTGCTCTCCTCAGTTCTCTCACCTGAAAAATTAGATTGGACAATCTTAAAGTATCCAGGCCTAAAATCCATGATATTATCAATTTGCACAATTCTCAAATTCTCGGTTCCTGAAAGGTTAAAGTGAAGTCTTAACATCACAGGACTTCAATAAATGAATGCAGAACATAATTATAAAATAATAACAAAATACTGGGTGCAGAGGTGTATGCCTGTAGTCCCAGCTACTCATGAGGCTCAGATAGGAGGATCACTTGAGCCAAGGAGCTCATGTCCAGCCTGGGCAACTTAGCAGGCTCCCATCTCTTAAAAATAATAATTGTAACATCCCCCAAAAAATCTAGCATAAAGATACACTGTCATTACAGGACATATACATAGTATTAAAAATGAACATAAATAGCTAGCTATCCTAACAACATTTTGCTTTCTCCCCATAGTTGTGAATCACTACTCATATTCTTAACAGCCTGCCTTCTCCATTACTTTTTTTTTTTTTTTTAAAGAAAAGGTTTTGCTCTGTCCCCCAGGTTGAACTGTAGTGGTACAATCTCTGCGCACTGCAACCTCAGCCTCCTGGGCTCAAGTAATTCTCAAGCCTCAGTACCCCGAGTAGCTCTATTACCTTCCAAACAACAGACTGAGTTAACTGGCCCTAAAATTGTATCTCAGGAAACTAAGTCTGGCGCCGGAATTATCAATTTCATACTGCAAGGAGTAATCCCATAGTGCAAAAGTAGAAATGAGGATACTGAAATTATTCTTTGCAAATAAATACAAAATAATTTAAAATTTCAGATGGCTCTAGATAGCATATGCTAACACCCAAGAATGTAAGGAAAATAAATGAGTCATTAAAAGATTATCAATAAGTAAACCAGTCAATTAATAATATTTTTTCCTCATGATATCTGGACAAGTTAGAATAACTACTTCTAAGTCACAGTTATAATACACCTTTGAGATAAAAGTAGACAACAGTACATTTATTATTCACTAAGTAAGGCACTGGAAAAGTAATGCATTCTTAAGAGCTAACCTATAAATGAGCTCAATAATGAAAGTGGCACAGCAGCAGCATCTTTTATAAAGCATTTCAATTTATTTAGCAACAGAGAGAAATTTCATTAAACAAATGTGTTTATAAATTTCTTTGGATTTTTTGTTTGTTTCTGACAGAGTTGAACAGTCTTACTAAATATTAATGTCTTGCCTTTGAAAATGCAATCCTACATGAGGGAGCACAGGATGATGTTCATTTTGAGCTATTCATTCAACTGTTACACAAGCTTTTCTCACTAGCAGCCAATTACCAGGTGCTATGGATTGAATATTTATGTCCCCCCAAATTCATATTTTGAAATCTCAACCCCAAAGATATTAGGAAGTGACAACTTTGGGAGATTATTAGATTATGAGAATAGAGCCCTCATGAATGAGATTAGTGACCCTATAAATAAGGTCTAAGAGAAGTCTCTTGCCTCTTCCACCACGTGAGGATAGACAGAAAAATGGCCCTCTGAGGACCAGAAAGTAGGCCCTCACCAGACTCCAAATCTGCCAATACTGTGATCTTGGACTTCCCAGCCTCCAAAACTGTGAGAAATAAATTTCTGTTATTTATAAGCCACCCAGTCTATGGTATTTTGTTACAGCAGCCCAAACTGACTAAAACACAAAGTCTCCTACATCTCTTTAAAACTTCCAGTAGCAGTACATCCTACCTAGAAATTCTGTGTGAAACCGAAGCTATGGACTTAGAAGAGTGTTCTAAGAAACTGTATCTATAGGATACTATAAAACCTTCAAAAGCAAGAATGTATCTGGTGTGGTGAATGTAACTCAGGCATTACCCAGAATAATGGTATCTTTATCATGACTTTGTGTGATGGTACTTAGTACGTAGTGATACTATATATTGTAAGGTACTCTACAAACCACTACCTGAACCCTTCTAATTCAGGGCCCTCATTTAAAGAAATTCAACATTTATAAAGAACCCAGAAATGTGCCAGGCATTATTAATACAAAGAATAATGAAACACGGTCCCTGCCCTCAAGGTTTCACAGTCAATAGAGGAGAGTAATTATGAGAATGTTGTAAGAATAATGACGTTAGAAATCACACCTGCAAGATATTAGGCAACCATGCAAAAGAGACTCCTAATACAGCTTGTAGTAAGAAAAGGCCCTAGAGCAAAAAAATGCCTAAACAGAGATTTCAAATAAAGAAATTTATCAGGAAGAGAGTGGGGTAAGATTCAAGAGTACAGTAGATACCAGTAAGCAAAAACATGTAGAGAAGGAAACAGCACTGCTTCCTGTGTGGAACACAAGGCAAGTCAGTGGACTGCTAAATCATAAACTGTGGGATGAAGATAAGAAAAGATAAAGCTGGTGAGGCAGATTAGAACTACATCATATACTAAGCTACTATGACATATTAGATTTTATCCTGCAGTCCAGGGAATTTCAAACTATTTCAGAAACCAAACCTTTTTGTTTTTCCATAGAAAGCTTCCATAAGCTATCAGCAAGTAAGTGCTATGAAAAGAGATGAAAGGGTAGGCACATCCTCCAAGCTTAGCCCATGCAAAGCAAGTGCACTTTGAAAACCACAGCCACAGAGACTTAAGTACAGGAGTGATCTAGTAAGATCTGCTCTCTTGATATATCCTTCTGAGGGATATTAGAGAATGGATTTGAGCAGGACAAGACTGGAGGCAGAGATACCAATTAGGGACAGGTGGCAGGAACCACAGCAAGAGATTATGAGGCCCTGAACCAGTGCTATGGTAGGAAGGATAGAAGAAAGGCGAGTAGCTTTGAGGACCATCAGAAGGCCTTGGTGAAAGTATGCTAACTGCACATATAGTGGCTACTTGATCCCACTTGGCAGTAGTATTTTATCCCAATTGGTAGGTTTCTAATGGAGAGACTAACTCATCAGACAATTTCAAGGGGGAAGAACCTACCTCCTACATGTATTGTGTGGCTTACTGAATTTTTCTAGCCAACTTTCCTAACTGCTTACTGATGCATCACCTCTTTAATACCAGCTTTTCTCTTTTCAATATTTAAACAACCAATAAATCTGGCAGATTTTTTCTTTTACTCTTAAAAAGAAAACAGAAAACTATAACCTGCTCTAGGACATTTCTTCAAGAGAAAACATTATAATACAAAAAAGCTAAAAAAAAAAAAAACAAAACTAGCTCTGAAATTAGCATATACCATTCTGTCTCCCTCTGTTATTTTATTTTGCATTACCTTTCAGAGCACTGCTGGAAAAAAGCTGTCAGCTGCTGCAAAAATACCGGCCAGCAATCAGGTCTGTGTTCAAGCACAGTGATCAAAGGCTGAGGATGATTTCTGAAAAACATAGAAAGTCACATGGGAAGCTGTCATTTCAGGACCACACATTTTCAATATCTGAATATGGCAGCAAAGAAACCAACACCATCTAGAGACCTTTTTCAGGATCCATTATTGTCACAAAATGATCACTTGCTCCATTTGTTGCAGAGTTGGTTCATCAGAACTGACATTTCCCCCTGCCTTTACCTAACAATTTTGCCGAAAACAAAATGGACTCAGGAGTCTCAGAGATCCAAATCCGGGAATGGACTCTGCCATTTAACAGCTCTGTGACATTGGCCAACCTCCTGAATCCAGTAGCTCTATCATATCCATCCCCTTGATCCTTCAATTCCTAGAGGTCACAGGCCACCTCCTCCTCCTGCTACTGCTGCTCTCTTTCCAAGCCTGGAAAGCTCCATTTCCTCCAACACTCCCCCAACCCATAAGCACTGTCTCTCCCTGTTTCCACATACTCCATTATTCTCATTGTATGGTTCTGTGTTTCCCAGCATACTTATGAAGAGAAAAAGGAAATATTCCATCCATCTTAACAACTAACCAAACTGAACATGCATAAAATTTCTGTTGAATGCAGATGAATCCTTTTATTTGAGCTACTTCCATTAAGATACCTAAAGAGACTATATAAAACACAAAATCTGAAATTTGAAGGATTCTCAAAGAATGGGGATTAACCCCCCACAAAAAAAAGCACAACCATGAGTTATTTTAAATAGTTCAAAAAGGCTATAGTAATTGCAAGCTGATCAACTTTTTAAACTATTAAGTACTATACAGTTCCTAGTTATTATGTGGCTTTTTCCTCCAAGAAAATATTTAAATAAAATTTAAGGTCAGGCACGAAGGCTCATGCCTGTAACCCCAGCACTTTGGGAGGCCAAGGTGGGCGGCTCACCTGAGGTAAGGAATTCAAGACCAGCCTGACTAACATGGAGAAACCCCATCTCTACAAAAAATACAAAATTATCCAGACATGGTGGCACATGCTTGTAATCCCAGCTACTCAGGAAGCTGAGGAAGAAGAATCACTTGAACCCAGAAGGGGGCAGTTGTAGTGAGCCAAGATTGTGCCATTGCACTCCAGCCTGGGCAACAAGAGCAAAACTCTTATCTCAAAAAAATACATATTTAAATGCTCATTGTAAAAAAAAAAATGCAAACAATACAGAAATATCAATCTTTTTAGCATAAAAGGAATCACATACATGACGCTATTCTTTAATTTTAACCCAACTATATATCTCCAGCAATTATTTTCCAAAAAAAGAGTAACAATCAGACCATCAGTTACACTCAAATAATTTTTTTTTAAAGACTGCGTTCATGGTGATTCTCAAAATGTGATGCCTTACCAGTTAGAGTAACTGGGAACTTGTTAGAAATGCAAATTCTCAGGCCCTAACCTGGATCTAATATGTAGCCCTGCAGGAAATTCTAATGCACTGCTATAAAGCAGTGATTCCTAATCTTGGTTGCAAGTTAGATTATCTGCAGAGCTCCTAATACTAATGCCCAGGTCTGTTACCTTAAACTTGCTTGCAATGAAGTTTGTCCATTAGCAGTTTTTTAAAACTCTACAGATAATTTTAATATGTTGCCAAGATTCAGAACTGCTACAAGTAAAAACTACTGCAGGATGTTGGGGGTACAAAATGTTCTGGGTTTCTCTTTTAAAAACAGAAGAATACAGTAGATCTATCACATTGAAACACATGTTAAACACCTCTCTGACACTACCACACAGTTTCTGGGTATAGTGCTACTTCTTTATTTCTTCTTAACCTCACCTAACCTATCAGGTACTAACTTCATATGCTGGCAGCCTCCTGCTTGCTAAAGCACAGGCTATTTCTGACTTACAGGAATGCTACCACTGCTAAGAGAACACTCCAAGCAACTTTTTATGCCAAAACTCAGAAATCATATCAAAATCATGTTTTCCAATTCCAAACCCTCTGGCATTTAACCCTACCTAGAATTTGCTTCCACTCTAGTTGCCACAAATACTAAGAAAATTATTACAAATCCTAAAAGCTTCTCAGGTATGTCACATCAAATAAAATTCTTAGATTGAAAGTTTAGCAGGTTGTGTTCAATTAAAACCACAAAACAGGCCACTAGCAGTGATTCACACCTGTAATCCCAGCACTTTGGGACGCCAGGGTGGAAGAATTGCTGGAGGCCAGGGATTTGACACCAGCCTGGGCAACATAGCAGGACCCAGTCTCTGCTAAAAGCAAACAAATGAACAAAAACAAAAAATCACCACATAAAAACGAAGAAAACTATTTCAGCTTTGGATTCTTTGGATAAGTACCATATTGCTATAGAGTATCAGATACAGTCAACCATTAATCTTCAAGATAATGGTGGCATTTATAAATATTTAAGAAGAAAACTCAGTAAGTTACCAGTTTTTGTGTGATCATAAGGCAATGAAGTGCTTTTCAATATTCTTCCTCTATAAGCCATCTCCTTTCCATCCTTCACATCCCTCCCAAAAAACTGCTAAGCATCTATCTCCTTTTTAAAACAGTTTTTTCCAAATTGAATCAGTTTAACAGAAATTTTAAAAAAAAGTATAAAATGGGATTAGAAATGACGTATATATGGTAAACAATTCTATTATAATTTACATTTATACATAACAACGGAGCCACCCCAGCTTTGTTGCACAATGGCCTGTTTTGCTAGCTATTGGATTCAGCAGATTTTATTTAGTATCTCAGACCTAAATAAAAAGAAAATTAGATAAAGCAGCATATAGTAGGATACAGATCATAAAGATTAATTACAGATTTAGACATCTGGATAATCAAGTTTACCAAATAGTTGATTATGTGAGATCTGAGTGGCAGTATTGCAGCTAGTGATACACAATATTGATTCTAAGAAGCTGAAAAGCCCAAGGAAAAAGGAAAGTATAAGATGAGAACACTGACTCTTCCTGTTGATCAGCATTTGATTATTAACAATACTATTTCAACTGAGTATACTAACCTATAATCAAATCATTGCCAAAATTTTGTTTTAACACTTTAATCATAATGAGCAAAGAGCTAAATTCTCCCTTAGGAGTCATCAAATACGTATGGAATACATATATAAAATAATCCATAAAGCCTTAGGCTTAAGTAATAGAATGGATGTATTTTTTAATTCAATAAATTTCATTTTACAACTGCCCATACATGAGAGTTTTAGCACAACTGACATTTTGGGACATGTAATTCTTTATTGTGGGGGTTGTCTATGCACAATGGCCTCCATTCACTAGATATAAGTAGGATTTCTCCTAGTCATGATGGTCAAAACTGTCTCCAGACACTGTCAAATATCCCCTGGAGAACAAAACTGCCCCTGGTCAAGAATCACTGCATTGAGTAAATGACAAGGACCATGGAAGGCATATCACCAAAGAAAGCATTGCATCAGTCCCGAATTGTAAAAAAAACAGACTATGCTTCACTTTCCCCTTTCCTTACACTGAACCAAACACAATTAATCAACTATGATCAAAGTTGTGATTTTCTTATGGAAATACAGTTATCAAATATTAACACTGAGTACACAAAGGTAACACAACACAGTAGAAACTAGAAGCCTTAAAATGAAAAACAAATGTAAAATTATTCCTCTGAAAAACATAAAGGGCATTAAATAATGTTCATGCTAATTTGGGTATAACAGAAAATGAAGTTATTTTCCTATTTAAAATATTGTAATTATAGCATTTAAAATTCCGTAAGGCTAAGTATAGTTCACTCTTGCTGTATTCAAAAGTTGATAATTACATTTACGGATTACTCAAGATTTTTCTTTCTTCCTCTCACCCACTGCTTGTTAGCCTTTCTATTTTTTCAAGTACATCCGACTGAGAAAGGTCAAGGTAAATGAAAGGATCCACAGTTTAAATGAGTCAAGTTAACAAGT